AAAAAAAAAACCTTTTGGTGTTCTTCTGTCAACTGTCCAAAAATCCACTTCCCTTACCTGAGATGAGAGCTTTTCTTGATCTCGCTCTCCCCTCCAACCCCTTGTTTTATCTCACCAACTGTGTCTTGCCATTCCTGCCATCTCTATTTTTGCTTCCACCTCTCTTCTTCTCCTGAGCTTTGCCTATTTCAGCTGAGTAAAATTTGCCTGTGGCCCATGTCACGCCCACCAATTTCTCTCTCCTATTCAGCCTCTTTGTGGGAACATAACGTTCTTTAACACTACATGCACACGTATACTTGCTATTTAAGCCTTATAGGAAACGTTCACCCAAAAATATCAATTCTGTCATCATTTTCTCAACCGCACATCGCTCCAAACCACACGTATGACTTTCTTTCATCCGAGGAACACAAAAGGTGAATTTTTGAATAATATACTGGCCTGATTCTTTCAAAATAACTGACAACTTTTGTATCACAAAAACTACATGCCATATGGAAATGTAATATATGTCCTATATCAAGAGTGATATTGGCATATATGTTACCTATAAGGCGATGTATAATTTTCACATATGCACATTCTCTTGGTAAGTGAAGATATAAGTTTATAACATAAATAAAATCATCATAGTAAAATTTGTATATGTACATATGTTAATAATATCTATATTTTGATTTTTAGCAACCATGTACAATATGCATTATTTAAATATTTTATTTACACAATTATTAAAACAACAAATATTCAAGAAATCTGTATGTCAGTATATGTTTTTGTAATCAATTTATTTTATATTTAAGTATATGAATGAGCATGTATTGATGTACATATCATTTATTTCCAAAATGTGTTAATCATACATACACATACATGGTAATACATTGTTTCTTATTTCCATAACTTGTTTCAATTTGTAATCAGTTAGATATATGTTTTTAATTCATATGAAATATAAGTCATATATGGAAATTTTATATAGACACATAAATAGCATTTGCATATCATGTGAGACACTGAGACCTAAATTCATGACTAAAAGCTGCTGTTTGCAAAAGTTATTAACAGTAGCGAGTAGCAACCTCTGATTCATGAATGAATCATTATTTTGAATTGGATCTTTTCATTTAATAATTTCAAAACCAGTCTGATTAATTCATTTGCAAAATAGACTCATTGCCTCATGATTTATTTCAATAAATGACTTCAATTGCATCCTGTTCGTCACACAAAGCTACTGTATGGCTTTAAAGGACTTGAAATATTCAACAAATATACTTATATGCTTTTATGGTGCTTTTGTGTCCACTTTGAAGCTTCGTCCCTCATTCTTTGCCAGAAAACAGATGACTCAGAGAATCTGGCCTCTAAAACGTCACGTACCATTACGGATGCTTTTGTTAAACTACTTGTGAACAAGTTAAAGTTGAAAAATATCACACATGACAGCCCCACAAGACAAACATTCAAATTTCTTTAGAGGCCTACACAAAGTAAATAATTCATGCTCTCCCGATGACTTGCATGTAAAATATTACCAAAGCAAAAGCAAGTGAATAGGCCCGGCTTTTCAAGTCTGAATAATTTAGTAGGAGAAATGAGCTGTTAGCCAACACAATCCTCCCCGACGCTCTAATACTTCTCCATAACGTTAGCTTGCTGTTCGCAGCAATAGTGCACATACAATAGTGTTTTCAACACCATCACTGACTCCACACCAAAGTGACAGTCTCAGAAACACAGACAGAGGCACATCCCACACACCGCTTCCAAACAGAGGCAATCTAATTTGAGACACCATGGAGGATTCCCATTTTCCATCGCTCAATTCCTTTTTGCCTCTTCCCAGGAGCGGGTCCCCACGCCAATAGGGCAGTAATGGATTTCAGTGAAATTACAATGCAATCTTCCCTATATACTGTTTTGTATTCTGGAGTGGCAGCACAAAAAAAAGGCACAAGGATTATTCACAGTAAAGAGACCGTCACTTCATCTAGGTATTAACGAAAGGGAAAGGTGAAGTGAGAAGTAAACAAAGGAAATATATACAGTAAACTCCAACCAGGGCTGAAAGTGTATATGCTGTACAATGGCAGAAATGTATCAAATATCAGTTTCTTACTATGCAGGTTATGCATGAATCTGTATTCAGAGCCAAAACTATCCATATTGTAGTGCACGTTTTACTGTTTTTGCACTGATGGTAGGTTTATTTTATGAATGCAGCATTTTGCTTTGAATCCATCAACTTGATTATTATTATTAGGATGCACACATCTTCATGGCACTCCACCCCAAAAAAGATGATAGATAGAGAGATAGAGAGATAGATAGATAGATAGATAGATAGATAGATAGATAGATAGATAATTATTATTATTAGGATGTAAACATCTTCATGGCACTCCACCCCGAATAAACAAACAAACTAATAAATAAATAAATAAATAATTTTTTTACTTTATTTAGTTTTTTTTTTTTTTTAGGATGTTAGGATGTAAAAAGCTTCATGGCACTCCACCCCAAATAAGAATGAATGAATGAATTAATTAATTAATTAATTAATGACAATTATTATTATTATATTATTATTAGGATGTAAACATAATAATGTCACTCCATCCCAAATAAGAAAACAGAACGCAAATAAATAAATAAATAAATAATTAGAAATCAGCATTATTCAAACAATTGCATGGTGTATTAGCCAACAAAATACATTGCATCAATAGTTTTTAAAATCAAATACCAGCAAAATAATAACCACACAAAACAGACTCCACCCCAAATAAGAATGAATGAATGAATTAATTAATTAATTAATGACAATTATTATTATTATATTATTATTAGGATGTAAACATAATGTCACTCCATCCCAAATAAGAAAACAGAAAGCAAATAAATAAATAAATAAATAATTAGAAATCAGCATTATTCAAACAATTGCATGGTGTATTAGCCAACAAAATACATTGCATCAATAGTTTTTAAAATCAAATACCAGCTAAATAATAACCACACAAAACAGAAGTAGGGGGGAATACACCAGGGAAAGAAACTATTGTTGCTGTATTGTATGTATTCTTCTTGGGATGCTTTTATTTTATGTTAACGCAAAAGATGATTCAAGGCTTTGCTAAGTGGTTTCATTTAAAAAATAATAATAATAATAAATGAAAAGATAAAGATAAAGAAAATGAAGCACAGTATCACTTTCGTTATGGTTCCACAGCAGGAAATGAGCTCATCATATCTTGTCTTATCATAAGCCTCTAATTTAAGAAGACTGAGGTGGTTCATATTTTTATAGTAATATCATGACATTCTGAAAGAATAATGTTCATAATGTTCATGTTAGTGGTATCATTACTTTTATGATGTCAGACGACACAGGAGTTGAATTATGAAAGTGTGAGCCGTTAAGAGTAACCTGCTATAAGTGGTGTGACGCTTTCCTGCATTTGAACGTCGTTCTTTATACCCTAGTGACAAGAGAATCCAGCTGAAATCAACAGGGATCAACTCAATCCTGCCAGAGAAAACGGTCCGCAATTATAGTTTAGCATCTGTCCTTATAATATTTTCCTTGCACACAGTTAAAAAAGATGTGGCTTGTCATGTTATTCAATTATTTAATTCCCACCAGAAGAGCTCCGTCGAGATGACTGGTAAAATTATGTTTATACACCTGCTCGCGAGTTTGGAGAATTGCATCTGGGACTTTAGAAAACCATTAAGAATAACCGAACAGTAGGTTAGGAGAAAAACACAAGTCGGAGACTTAAAAGACCAATAAAAGCACATGCCTGAAGCTGGGGCAACATTAACATACCCAAAAAAAACACAGCACAGACTTTTCCAGGAGAGAAATGAATGCAGCATCAAATCCCAGAGTGAATTTAAGGTCGGAAAATAAAAAGAGACTTTGTTCTTCGGTGGCACGTCTGCGAATGTTTCACACCAAAAGCCACAGAGACGGGCACATTTTAGTGAAGCACAGGCAATGGCTGGAAAAAAGGCACATTTTGCGTCTCATATGGCATTGCTGTACCTCGACTTCCATTTTCATGTTGAAGATTGGAAACTATCTAAAGCACATCTGGGAAATATGGCATGTTAACAGAAAAATCTGTTTGTGTTCTACAGTGTTGAGATACGCAATGCCAAGATGTG